AAACTAGCACTAACCCTCATATCTATAGAAAAAATGTATCACTGACCCTCATTCTAACCTACATTACCATAGAACCAATGTACCATTCACATACATAATCATATAGAATCAAACTATCACTACCCCTCATATCTATAGAACCTCTTACCTACATTACCATAGAACCAAAGTGCCATTCACATACATAATCATATAGAATCAAACTAGCACTAACCCTCATATCTATAGAACAACGGTATCACTGACCCTCATTCTAACCTACATTACCATAGAACCAAAGTGCCATTCACATACATAATCATATAGAATCAAACTAGCACTAACCCTCATATCTATAGAAAAAATGTATCACTGACCCTCATACCTATAGAACCAAGGTATCACCGACCCTCATATCTATAGAAAAAATGTATCACTGACCCTCATTCTAACCTACATTACCATAGAACCAAAGTGCCATTCACATACATAATCATATAGAATCAAACTAGCACTAACCCTCATATCTATAGAAAAAATGTATCACTGACCCTCATTCTAACCTACATTACCATAGAACCAATGTACCATTCACATACATTATCGTGGAATCATGAAACCTCTAACCTACATTACTGTAGAACCAAAGTACCATTCACATATATTATCATGGAATCAAGATACCTCTAACCTACATTACCATAGAACCAATGTACCATTCACATACATAATCATATAGAATCAAACTAGCACTAACCCTCATATCTATAGAACAAGGGTATCACTGATCCTCATATCTAGTGATAGTTTGATTCTATATGATTATGTATGTGAATCAAACTATCACTAGATATGAGGATCAGTGATACCCTTGTTCTATAGATATGAGGATCAGTGATACCCTTGTTCTATAGATATGAGGATCAGTGATACCTTTGTTCTATAGCTATGAGGGGCAGTGATACCTTGGTTCTATAGATAGGAGGGTCAGTGATACCTTGGTTCTATAGGTATGAGGGTCAGTGATATCTTGGTTCTATAGATATGAGGATCAGTGATACCCTTGTTCTATAGATATGAGGATCAGTGATACCCTTGTTCTATAGATATGAGGGGTAGTGATAGTTTGATTCTATATATGTGGGGTTAAGCGATACCTTTGTTCTATAGATATGAGGATCAGTGATACCCTTGTTCTATAGATATGAGGATCAGTGATACCCTTGTTCTATAGATATGAGGGTAAGTGATACCTTTGTTCTATAGCTATGCGGGTCAGTGATACCTTGGTTCTATAGATAGGAGGGTCAGTGATACCTTTGTTCTATAGATATAAGGGTCAGTGATACCTTGGTTCTATAGGTATGAGGGTCAGTGATACATTTGTTCTATAGATATGAGGATCAGTGATACCCTTGTTCTATAGATATGAGGGGCAGTGATACCTTGGTTCTATAGATATGAGTGTCAGTGATACCTTGGTTCTATAGGTATGAGGGTCAGTGATACATTTTTTCTATAGATATGAGGGCCAGTGATACCTTGGTTCTATAGATATGAGGGTCACTTATACCTTGGTTCTATAGGTATGAGGGTCAGTGATATCTTGGTTCTATAGATATGAGTGTCAGTGATACCTTGGTTCTATAGATAGGAGGGTCAGTGATACCTTGGTTCTATAGGTATGAGGGTCAGTGATACATTTGTTCTATAGATATGAGGGGCAGTGATACCTTGGTTCTATAGATAGGAGGGTCAGTGATACCTTTGTTCTATAGCTATGAGGGTCAGTGATACATTTTTTCTATAGATATGAGGGGCAGTGATACCTTGGTTCTATAGGTATGAGGGTCAGTGATACCGTTGTTCTATAGATATGAGGATCAGTGATACCTTTGTTCTATAGATATGAGGGTAAGTGATACCTTTGTTCTATAGATATAAGGGTCAGTGATACCTTTGTTCTATAGCTATGCGGGTCAGTGATACCTTGGTTCTATAGGTATGAGGGTCAGTGATACATTTGTTCTATAGATATGAGGATCAGTGATACCCTTGTTCTATAGATATGAGGGGCAGTGATACCTTGGTTCTATAGATATGGGGGTAAGTGATACTTTTGTTCTATAGATATGAGGGCCAGTGATACCTTGGTTCTATAGGTATGAGGGTCAGTGATACATTTTTTCTATAGATATGAGGGGCAGTGATACCTTGGTTCTATAGATAGGAGGGTCAGTGATACCTTGGTTCTATAGGTATGAGGGTCAGTGATATCTTGGTTCTATAGATATGGGGTTAAGTGATACCTTTGTTCTATAGATATAAGGGTTAGTGATACCTTGGTTCTATAGGTATGAGGGTCAGTGATACATTTGTTCTATAGATATGAGGGTCAGTGATACCGTTGTTCTATAGATATGAGGGTTAGTGATAGTTTGATTCTATATGATTATGTATGTGAATGGTACTTTGGTTCTATGGTAATGTAGGTAAGAGGTATCATGATTCCATGATAATGTATGTGAATGGTACATTGGTTCTATGGTAATGTAGGTTAGAGGTTTCATGATTCCATGATAATGTATGTGAATGGTACTTTGGTTCTATG